GATCACAAAGGCCTGCTGGTTTGGGGGAAGTAGAAACTCCAGATTGCTTGACACTTTCCCTTCAGCTCTGCACTCTGTCTCTTCCCATGTCCAGATTGGCCTGCCAGGCCATGAGGCAGCTGCACCCAGAGGCCATTGCAGCCATCCAGAGCAAGGCCCTGTTTAGCAAGGCTGAAGAGCAGCTGCTAAGCAAAGTGGGATCGGTAAGGCTGGGGTCTCAGAAGGTTGAGAATCAGGGAAGGGTGCAAGTTGGAATGTTCAGCCCCTACCCACTGACTGCGTATATGCACATGCAAACGTGCAGAGGCCTTTGTGACTGGCCTCAAAAGGAGCCAGATCTGGCTCCCTGAGTGACTCTGTTGCTTCTTCTAGCTCCTGAGGTTCCTGAGGTAGGGGGAATGGCAGGAAGGCAGAGGTAGGAGTGAGGAAACCCAGGTTCATAAAGCATGTTTCTTGCCTCCAGACCAGCCAGCCCACCTTGGAGACCTTTCAGGACTTACTGCACAGACACCCTGATGCCTTCTACCTGGCCCGAACTGCCAAGGCCTTGCAGGCACACTGGCAACTCATGAAGCAGTATTACCTGCTGGAGGACCAGACAGGTAACACCCCAGGAACTGGCAGAGCAAGTGGATATGCTTGAGTGTGTGTAGGAAGTGCTGTGGGCACAGCTGACTTCTAGTACTCTATAACAGGTTATTCGTTGGCCCCCAGTGTCATATTCACCTCACTTTGCAACAAAAACGACTTCCTCCCAGATAGGGGAGAGAGCATCAGGAATGGTCTTTGGCATCGTGTTAAGGGTATCCAAAATTGCCTGAAATCCTGGGCAAAAAGTCCCAATAGAGTCATCTACCATTTCTTTCTTTCTTTTTTTTTTTTTTGGTCTTTTCTTCTTGCATTTTGCTATTACATAAATAGATTAGTTTCGTTGTTGTTCTGTAGTACTGGGGTTGAACTCAGGGATGTTCTAGCACTGAGCTATATCTCCAGTCCTTTTTTTCAATTTTATTTTTGAGGCACGATCTTGCCATGTTGCCAAGGCTATCCTCAAACTTGATATCCTCCTGCTTCAGTCTCCTGAGTAGTTAGGATTATAGGTATGTGCCACTGCACCTGGCTGCATTAGTATATTTTTTTTTATGGCTAGCATTCAAACAGGAACAAGATATTAAAGCCTCCATTTCTGCTCTCCCTTCCCCTTGTTTCCCACCTCTTTTTCTAAGCTTTCCTACCCTTTGCCTCTCTGCATTCATTCTTCTCTTTCTTTGCCCTCCTCTCTTCCCACCAAGCATTCTGTGCTGTCAGTTGCTCTTTAGGTCATTCAGAAGGTCTCAATTGGGACTTGACACACAGTCCACCTGTCTCTTCTCCTATGGCCAGAATGCACTCCATCTTCTCTCTTCCCTCAGTACCAAACTTACTCTCTTTCCTAATGATAAATGCTAGGAAATCAGTCTGATTAAACTGCAGCACCCTTTTGGTGAGATTTGTGATTCAGGTTTCGATTTCCATGGTGCAGATGCACTCTTCCTGCCTAACTACCACTGAGACTGCCTTTCACATTTTTTTTCACACTTTTCTGGAAATGAAGCTTCAGGTGTGCCCTTCACCTCTCTACCAGGTCCTGCAGCTTCTGGTTAGGAAAAGATACTCCTGCAGGAGGATTCTAGAGAATCTACCTCACAGAGGGAGGCTGTATCTTTCCCTCCTGAGGACATCTGGTTTTATGGGTCCAAGAACAGCCCTCTTTATTCCTGCAGCTTCCAGAACTCTGCTGCTTCCCCAGACTCTGCTATCACTGAATTCTTCCAGAGGAAACAGATACTGAGTGAAATTTACTTTTACTGCTAAATCTAGTTCCTTTGTCACTATTTTAAAAGTTATTTTGTTAACTGAAAGTCTTATCTTAAAGGTTATATCTTTTCCTTGGAGTCTCTGCCTGTGGGGATTTGATGCATAGAGTTGGGAGTCCCAGGGAACATGTGGTCTTCACCAATTAGCTGTCGAGTCAGTTGCACATTAGAGTGGTAGAATTTTAGGCAGTGCTGGCAGGGAGGGTCATAGTGGGGTTGACTACCCCAGTCTCCTAATAGTCTCATCTAAGCAGCAGAGAGAAAAAGCATCTGTGCTCCTAGGCATCCTGCTTCCTTCCTTAGCCAATAGCAGTCCAACTACTGCCTGCTACAGAATAGTCACTGCAGTTCTGGGAACAGCTGGCCTATAAAGGCCTAAGTTCTCAGATTTGGGGCATCCCAATCCCTTTTATATCTTGTCTAGAAAAAAGTTGAAAAATGGGCTGGGGATGTAGCTCAGTGATAAAGTGTTTGCCTAGCATGCATGAGGCCCTGGGTTCAATCTTCAGCACCGTACCAAAGGAAAAAAAAAAAAAAGTAGAAAACATTTAATGAACATATTGGATGGGCTCTGATATTTTCCTATTCCATTTCATTCTTTGAAAACAAATGAAACTAATTTCATGACCCATGATCAGTCATGACCCACAGACTAAATTAGATACTGGCTGGACATGGGGCAGCTCCTTTCTGGCCTCATATGCCTCTTAGCCCTCCAACAGCAAGGCAGGAAAGCTGGGGAGTGTGTGATGTATTGGGAAGGAGCAGTTTAGATTTGGAATCTGGAGAGACTTGAATTCTGGCTGTGCCCCACAGTAGGGTCAAATAGTGTAAACTGTCATTTGTATCTGTTTCCTTATTTGAAAGTAGAGCTAAGTAGTGTTTTCTCTGCTTAGTTCAAGGCTTTGTAACTGAGATCCGTTCACACACCCATACCCAAAAGCCCATGGAAAAGGTCAGCTTTGATTTCCTCCCAATCTAGAACCATCTCTGCCCATGAGTTAAATTAGAATGGGGCCTCGTTAGGAATGCACTAGGAGTAGGGGTCTTGGTGCTCACTCTTCCTCTGTCATTTGTTCAGTGCAGCCGCTTCCAAAAGGGGACCAAGTGCTGAACTTCTCTGATGCAGAAGACCTGATTGATGACAGTAAGCTCAAGTGAGTGACTGGGGCCTCAGGCAGGGCTGGAGAGAGCTAAGTCACCCATAGGTAGAGCACCCCATGCTGCCCAGCCCAACTTAGCCCCCAGGCTCCAGCTGCAGCTGTTGTGCTTGGCCTCCCTGCTGCACCCACTCCTGTGGGGAGTGGGGAGGGGCTTTTAGGCTCTCTTCCTTTCCCTTATTCCCCACCCTAATCCCAGGGAAAGAGGCTGGGCCAAAGCTGGATAAACAGCCTTCTGGGCCACTTGGCCAAAGGTGTCAGGATTGCCCTGATGAGCCAAGTAGCAAGTGAGCTGAAAGTGGACTTGATTCATTCTTCTCTCACCCTTCAGGGACATGCGAGATGAAGTCCTGGAACATGGTAAGTGTACTCTGGTGGAAACAGGGAAGGGATAGAAGCTCTTGCCTGAAATAAGAGAAGACCTGTACAAAGTACTATGGCCTCAAAGTGTCCTTACCACCCCACCTTACCTCAGAGCTCACAGTGGCTGACCGGCGCCAGAAGCGAGAGATAAGACAGCTGGAACAGGAATTGCATAAGTGGCAGGTGCTAGTGGACAGCATCACAGGTGAGGAGGCCAGGGGACCAGGGGCTCCCTTTTGGGCGTCCTTTATCCCCTTTGAGCCCCTCCTATTGCCTAGCTGGATATGCCCTGCTTTCCCAGGCCTTGACTCCTGTCACTCATAGATCTTGCCCTTGTTCCCTGCTTTCCACTCTGCACTTGGATGGGCCCTTCCTAATCCTGTTCTTCCTCCAGGGATGAGCTCTCCAGACTTTGACAACCAGACATTGGCAGTGCTACGGGGCCGCATGGTGCGGTATCTTATGCGCTCACGTGAGGTGAGATAGGCCTTCCCCATCCTCACCCTCCTAAGCATCCCTCCTCTGTCACTGCCCTTTTTCTTTTTCTCATCTTCCTTGGCTTGTGTGGACTCCATCCCCCATTCCTCAGGGCCCAACCCTCACCTATCTCATTTCTCCAGATCACCCTGGGCAGAGCAACCAAGGATAACCAGATTGATGTGGACCTGTCTCTGGAGGGTCCAGCTTGGAAGATCTCCCGAAAGCAAGGTACCCTCCACATACTGCTGCCTCGATGGGAAGCAGTGTGGAATGTTCCCCCCAGTCTTTCATTGCCCTTTCCAGCCCTGAGTCTTGATATCCTTGTGGACCAGCTGAGGCAGGCTGAAGGAGCCAGCATTTCAAGGTCTCTAACTCGGGAGTCCTACGTACCTTAATACCCCATCTCCAAGAAGCAGAGATGGTGGTTGGAGGCTCCTGGCTCTCTTCTGGCCCATCCCATTCTCCCATTGCTTCACTACTTCCACAGGTGTTATCAAGTTGAAGAACAATGGTGATTTCTTCATTGCCAATGAGGGCCGACGGCCCATTTACATTGATGGACGGCCTGTACTGTGTGGCTCCAAATGGCGCCTCAGCAACAACTCTGTGGTGGAGGTGAGATGAGGGAGGTAGAGAGGCCAGGATGAGGTGGGGGCTTGGTGAGCTCATACATGGGCCTGGTTCTTCCCACCACTGTCCTCTCCCCACCAGATTGCCAGCCTGCGATTTGTCTTCCTCATCAACCAGGACCTCATTGCCCTTATCAGGGCAGAGGCTGCCAAGATCACACCACAGTGAAGAGGACAGGGTACCAAGAGCCCTGGGTTCTCTCTGGCCTCAGTTTGCTGTTATTCCAGCCCCCTTAAGCTGGGAACTCAGGCTCCTGGAAAAACCTGCCCACATGGGGAACAGGAGACCCAACTGCTGGCCCATTGATTTGAGTCTTTGAGGAAGGTGGGGCTGGCCATTGGGAAGCCAGGAGAGGCTGGGACCCTTGTGCTTCCCTAGAGCCAGAGCCCCTCCCCGTCTTCTCTGCAGACCACCCTCCCTCTCCCCTGATTGCCACCTTCAATCTTGTGTCTCCAGAGGATTAGCTTCAGATTTCTTTATTGTTTTTCTTTTGTAAATAAAAAGCACCAAATTCCAAAGTAGTTTCTTTTTTTATTACGCTTTTTTAATATAAAAAATGTAAGGACAGGTAGAGATGGGGCACATGCAAGAGAGGGCGGAATCTCTCCTTGTCCTCAGGCCTCTGCCCTCAGCCCGCAGAAGGTGACAAGGTCAACAACAGAGCAGGCTATAGAAGGGCTCCAGGAGTAGGGACCTGCAGATTCTCAGCTCTGGGGTTTGCTTTTGAGGCTCCAGCCCACTCCTAAGAGTCAGGGAGCCAAATCCCCTTTATGTCTCTAGTTCCCTGCCCTGAGCCAGCGGGCAGCATGGAGTCCTGAGATTGGGCAGAGCAGCAGAGGTTGGCATGTCTGTAGCACTGACCTTGGGCTGGCAGTCAAACCCCCGTCCCTTCTTCCTGGGTCCACTGGACTGTGCCAGGGCCGTGACAGCCAATAAGCACCATCTCTAGGCTGTGGGGGTCCCAGGGCAAGGCCCTGCTCCCTGATCCTGGTGGGGGCTCTCCAGTGCTGGTAGTCTCTGCCTGGCTCACAGGCTCTGGGGGCCCAGTCCCAGCCCCTTCCTCAGGAGGAGGAGAAGCTGGGGTGCTAGGCTCAGAGCAGAGTTCTCCTGAGCCAGGGGGCTCTGAGTCTGAGGTGGAGGTCCACAAAGTTGTGGCTCGAGGCCAGGGGGAGCTTTGAGATGCTGGGGGCCCCCAGGGCCAGGGTGCCATGAGGGGAGGGGGCCCTGGACGAGGGTGGGGCCAGGTTCCACTTAAGACAGAGCCAACTGGGGGCTGTAGGTAGGAGGATGTCCCAGTGTCCACACGAAGAGGCTGCAGGAGCCCAGAGGCACTGACTGTACCTCTGCAAGGCCCCTCTCCTGATGCCCTAGGGCATGGGCCCTCCCCATGGGGTACCAAGACAAGCTGCACAGCCTGGCGAAGTGACTGCAGTCCCTCCCGCATCTGTAGTACCTGCTCAGATAGCTCCATCACCTTCAGGGGCAGGAGAAGGTGAGGTCAGCAACATCGGGTATCAAGTAGTATAGTGCCTGCCCCTTCCCCTCCCTGTCCCCACCTTGTCCCTCACCCACCGCCTGCCGCAGCTTGTCCAGTGTATCCGTATTCCTTGCCTCGCTGGGCCCAAGGGGGACAGTGAGCAGGCCACTCTCTGTGGATAGGATTGGGGTTAATGAGAATCAGCACAGTGTCCAGGTTTTTGTCCCCCTTAGAACACACCTGGTTAGACCTCACTCAAGAATAACTACTTCTGCCTTGCCCAAGGAACTGAATTTTACCTAAACTGCCAAGGGCAGGAAAACCCTTTCCAACAGACCTGGGTCACATTGCCCTGTACCCTTCTCCCCTCAGGAAGTTGTTCTTTGTGACTGTCCCTTATTCTGTTCTTTAGGGAAATGGACATTCCTGAGACCTCTCTACTTTGTCCACTTCCCAGAGCTGCTTCACCTGGCATAGAACCACTAACAATCCTGGTTCCCTATCTCTTTATCCTCCCAGTGAACGAGGCATCGAGCTAAGGGTTTAGTTATAGTATCTTATTTAAAATGCACATCCATTTTATAAACAAGAAACTGAAGCCAGAGAAGCCAAGTTCACACTGCTAGAAAACTGACAGAATAGGAATCCAAACCCAGGGCCCAGAGTGGTCTTCACAACCAAACTCCCTGCCCAGTGGTGCAGAGGTAGGTAATGGCAAGAGGGCTTCTGGGCAGAGTCTGCCCCTGGCCAGTTTCTCTAACAGTGCTGTTCCACAAGGAAAAGGGGTCACCCCACCAACATACTCTGTCCCTGGTCCTAGTACCTGGTCCAGGGGAGGGGCTGCTGCTACATTCCAGGCCAGATTGACCCACGCGGAAAGAGAACTTGTGCTGGTCAGAGCCACAACCATCCTCAATGCCATCTACAACCCTGTGGACCCAACAAATCAACAAACAGTTGACAGGTGACCACTATTGTGTTACAAGGCACAGGATGCTCCAGTGCCTATATACAGAGACTGCAGCAGCGTGGAGCTGGACAGGGGACCCTTGAGGTTCCAAGAAAAAGCTAACACACCATCCCTTCCCCTACAAGCTTGCCTTTGAGCAGGGGAGACAATTTGAGCAATATGAAACAAGGGTTCAGACTTAGAGCAGGGTGTGACATACACTAACAAGTGAAGACAGAGGAGTCAAGAAAGTCTTCCCAGAAGGGGCAAGCTTGGACCACGCAGGCAGGGAGAAGTGAAGATGCAAGGATGGGCGCTCAGGGTGTGGGTATGCCTGGCTGGGACCTCTCTCTTACCACTCTCACCCTGCCATGGGGCCCAAGGCCTTGTTTACCTGGGGCTAAGGTCTGGGGGCACATTCCATGGCATGGGGGGCAGCCGCAGTCCCTCCAGAGTCCGTGGGTGAGCAGAAGCACCAGCCTCAGCCTTCAAAGCCCTTGCCCTGCTCGGTCGCCCCCTGCCACCTAGACGTGGCCGGGGCACAGTTTGACGAGGGGATAGCAGTTTGGCAGCCGAGGATGAGGAGGTGCAGCCAGGGGACAGCAGAGGGCTGGAGGGCTCATCTGCTGTGGCCGGTGAGGCTGTGGGGCCCTGTTCCCCATCTGTCTCTTTCTCCTCCAATGTAGACATGAGGGTGTTGTCACCACTCAAGGAGCTGGTATCTACCTGGGGACAGGAAATAGACATGCATGGCAACTGTTGTGTCCCATTCATCTCTCCTGCCAAGAGATTATCTCCCCTAGAATGGATGAGCCATCTTTATTAAAAAGAATACCCAGTGTCTTCCACTCTGCAAAGGAAGAGGCCCCATGAGGAGGGGTGACTTGTTTTTCTACTGCCATCATAAAGCTACCAAGCCCTTGAGGCATTAGCTGCCCCTCAAAATTCCACCCAAATGTGAATATACCACCCCTCATGCTAATAGAACTATCCGAGAGACTACAGTACTCAAAACTGGTTTAGAACTAGTGATATTATCCAGGGAAATTCAAAAGCCCTCAGAACAATCCTGTTTTGCCATGAAAAAGCAGAGAAAGCCACAGTGCTCTCCAGAAGCAGCCTGGAGGATTGTGCCTATCCCCTGCCCAGGTGCCTGACAACCCCTCCATTAGCCAATGAGGCTCATTTGTTACCAGTGCCCTCCTTAACCTGACTTTGCTCTGGACAGGGACGAGCTGTCTCAGATGGGCCAAGCAGGGACACAGGGGTGGCTGGGCTTGATTGCTGACTTCTAAAAGATTATGTGGATGTGAAAGGACAGACTTTCACAATGGGCCATGCCTTCCCCAGCCCCTCCATGCACGTAACCCAGTACCCTCACCTCTGCAGGGCCTCCCCCAGAACCCAGGTTGTAGCTGAGCTCCCCTCGGAGACCACGGCTGAAGCGTGTGGCAAATTCAGGGTACAGTGCAAGACTATCGTGCAGGCCAGCCAGCTGCAGGCACTGCAGGACGCAGTAGGTCAGCCCCTTCACATCGGCATTGGCCTTTACCACCTGCTCCCGCCGGGGCAGCTCACAGCCAATCAGATCGCCCTTCCCTGGGGAAAGGAAACAGAGGTCAAAGAACCCTTACCCCCAGTCACTGAGGGGAGGTGGGCCAGAGACCACAGAGCCTCCCTCTTCTACAGAGTCAAGCTTTTCCAGCTGGAGTGGCACTGTGAAACCTTCAAGTGAGGTGGAGAGAAGCAGAGGCCTGGTTAGGGTCACGGCCTGACCACTGTTGCCTGCCTCACTGACTCCCCACATAGGCTTACGGTGAAGTGGAGCCCAGGCTCTCAAACACTTTCAGGATCAAAACCACTGAGCTGAAACCTCAGCATCTTAGCTCTGAGACTGAATAGCCATCAATTTTAGTAGTTCATAGACAGGCCATCAATTAGAATCCCCTGAGAAAGTTAAACCAGTTGGACTCCCAGGCCCCATCCCTACCTTTAGCATTGTTATTTCTATAAGAGACCCTATGATCTGATTATTTTTTAAAGCCCCACAGATGATTCTGGTGCAGCTCATCCAGGGGCCAGTGGTTAAAAGCAGCAGTTTAGTACCTAAAGTGGCATGGCCCAAATGTCAGGCAGCTGAGGTCCTTCATCTTCCAGGGCCCTGGCTGCCTCTTCTAACAAGAGAAGCTGCATCTGCCTGAGTCAATGAGGTTTTATTGATCTCACCAGAAGGCCTCCATGGGGAGTTTTCCCATCATCAGGTTGAGACTGCCACCTGGCTGATAGCAACTTTAATATGGCATCAATTATGATCTGGGACCCAATCTCAAAAATGTTGGATTGGAGGGGATGGAATGATATGTGTCTTAGAATCAATGAAATAGAACCAGGTATGGTGGGACACACCTATAGTCCCAACAATGCAGGAGGCTGAGGCAAGAGAATCACAAGTTTGAAGTCAGCCTCCACAATTTACCAAGACCCTCTCTCAAAATGAAAAATTTGAAGTACTAGGAATGTAGCTCAGTGGTAAAGCCCCCAAAGAGTTCAATCCCCAGTACTGCAAAAATAAAATAAAAATAAGAAGAAGGAGGAGGAGGAGGAGGAGAAGGAAGGAAGGAAGGAAGGAAGGAAGGAAGGAAGGAAGGAAGGAA